AACTTTATTCTTGGGAATAAAACTCAGTACAGTGACCCTTTATTCTTGGAAATAAAACTCAGTACAGTAACCAAATGTCCCTCTTTACCCAGGACAGCACGAGTTTATGCTGCAGTTCCAGTGTCATTGTTCAGATTGTCCTCTTTCACTCTCAAAGTGTCCTGATTTTGATCATGAATTATATGGTCAACACAGAGCTCAGGCACTGAATTAGGCCTACAGTAGCTTCCTAAATTATCCTCCTCTCACTGAAACAAAGGTTCTTAAGCCATGACTTAAAATATGCTTTAAAATAAATACCACCTAGGAAATTCTTTACATTGCATCTCCTGCTTCCTCTTTCTTGTTGTTTTACAAATGCACACATATCCCTTTACATGTCTTTTAAGAAATACTGTAAGTCATTGAAGGTGACATATTTCAAGAGACCTACAACCCATCTGATTTTTACTATTCGTTAGTATGTAATTTTAGACTAATTTACTGTTTTTTGTTCTTTTAAATAAATGGTGATGGGAAAACTCTTTAAGATTAAGAATTTCTTAGCCTAGGTCTAGGTCCAATTTGAAATTTGTGCTCAGCAACCTTAGCTTCTTCATTTTTGCATCTCTTCCATATTCCGTGATATTCTTTTTCCCCCCAGGTACCCTTGGGTCTCCCCAAGCTGTCAATAACAAAAGGATACGGCATCAGTCAATTTAACTCAATGGGCTACCTTCCCAGGCACATTTTACTTAAAGCTATATCTTTAATCATAGAGGCTCTTACTACTTACTATGTTGCTAATGGTTGTTGGTTATCAGTAAGTGGGTAGAGATACAATTTTTCAACTAGGCAAGTTTTCCCCTGATGCCAACAGCCTACAATGTGTAGGATGCTGCCTACATTTCCTATAAGCAAGGCTGACTCAGACCTGGTGTGTGTATATGATTGTCTTGCCTTTCACTAGAACCCTTTTAAAGTGAAGATAAAAGAGGGAAAAAAGGAGAATACATTAGTTCAGTAAACAATTCTTCTGTTTATGCAATCTGTTTTTTTATAGATGGAGCAATTGATCCAACATTAAAGCAGCCCAGACATCTCAATATTTAAATTAAAAATGCACTAATAAAGAGGTAATTTAATATGCAATTTCATGCATTAATAATTAGCAAAGCATTACTGAACTGCAAGGTAAAAAGCTATGAGAACATAACTAATGAACTATTGATGCCAAAGTAGACTTCATAATAAAACAAGACTTTAATAAATCTTTTATTAAATGGCTACAAATGAACCACTTTGTTAACATATAATAGGTAACTACTAAGCTACTTAATTCACAGATATAAGTGAGGAACTTGAAGGCAATTAACTTTACAATTGCTGAAGGTCAGCACTTCTCAATGAGAGATACTGTACTATACCTTTAAGTGCTGCTGCTATACTGGGTCAATTCTAAGCTTTTCCTCAGCTGTTCTGTATTCTTGTAGTAGCTATTATTACACATCGAAGTAACTAAAGTATAAAATAAACAAAAGACGAGCTATAGGCTATTAAATGCCCTAAAAGTAAATTATCCAAAGTATAAGAAATAGTGAGCTCAAAGAAAAAAAAATTAAGGAAATGTAAGCAAGTATTTGGTATTATATTTGGCACTGATAGTTATTTATAAAAAATGATAAGATAATAAGGATATGCTTCTAAATTGCAAATGCTTATTTGGATCTTGACTCTAGGAGATCTGAAACTCACTGAAGACTATAGACCAGGACTATTCTATTTACTGAGTAGAAATGCACCATACACAGTAATATCGATTGTCTCCAGAAGTAGCAAATGTTAAATTCATTAGAGAAAGGAAATAAACATTTTTACAGAAGCTAGAAACAGCCTGGTGAAAAAAAAGCTTTCTAATAAATCTAAATGAAAGTTACACTGAAACATATATGACAAGGTAGAAAATCTTTTATGTCTTCTCTACCAATTCACATAAACTGTAAGCATACAAATCCCAAGATTTTTATGGATTATTACATGCTATTTTGTAACCAACTATTATCAATATATGCTGAGAGAAGAAAAGGGGAGGAGACAGAGAAAAACGAAATCTATATTCTTATCTACATGTAACTGAATTTTATACTTTATAGTTTATAATCTTTAAATGACAGTTTCAGAAAACTGAGAGTTAGTAAAATGAGTATATGTATATATTAAAATAATTGCCAAAGATGAAACATACATAGATTAAAAACTAGTTAAAGGTAGACAGAAGTCTGGATAAAGTTGTTAATATAGCTGAAACTGAGCCTGAGAATCTTACTCAATAGGGAACCTTAACTAAAAAAGGAAAAATCAATGATAAATAAGACTGGTTCTTCACCTCCAGAGTTCCAACCAAGTGAGACTATTAAAGAAACCACAGTGGTACTGTGTCAGTACAGTGTGAGATTTTCACATCACTGCTTAGGTTGATTCACTGAGTACCTGCAAGGTGAAATACCATTTCTTTTGATTAGCAATACTATAAGATATGAGCATTGGATAACGAGAAAACAACAAAACTATACTACAGATTAAAATTTGTTAGCATGATATACAATTTTTAGATTCATTATTCTTTATATTTATTAGTGAGAATATCAGCTGGTTGATTTTCTTCCTGTGTAAATTCATGAAACTATATAACGTAACTCCACTGATGGTTCATTAATGGTATTGCTTTGAAATAGAAGAAAATCTCAGCAACTACTCACCCTAGGAGTGATTTCTTATATGGTCTCAATATAGAGAAACCAGCTATAAGTTCACGTATGGCTACAATGGATTGTGTTCTACCCAGGTACTTTCTTTCCTTAACCTTTCACCAACCAAAATTCATCAGTTCAATATGAAGAATAACAAGAACACATCTTATCCTCCCACCGCCAATTATTCCAAATCTTTTCATTATAAGACATGACTTCAAGGAATACTAATTCTCCTATTGACAGTTTTTGAGGCTTTTGTGCTATACAACATCAATAAAAGTAAACACATTTCTGATGATTTACCTTGACATATTTCATAAATATTTGTCAGAACAATTATTGTCAACTACAATGCAATTATCCATATTCAATTTGATGACTCAACTGGAAAATTACTTTTTTCCTGATAAAATTTTTCCAAATGACAATAGTGAATCAGTGTTGATTAGTTGTTCAGTGTGTGCTAATTAATTACACTGAGGAAATTCAGCTCAGTGCTAATAACCTCAGGAGGAAAAAACCCAAAACTGTATATATAACTCATTGTCTTAAGTGAAATCTGCTTTTTGCCTACTTTTTCCCTGTTCTTTCTCTTTCTAATCTCTCCCAGCAGAGTGTTCAATAATATAAAATAAACAATAAAACCCAACTACTCTTGGCTGACGCTACAGAGAAAAAGATAAGAGTTCTTTGGAACTTTGTTCTTAGGTCAAGAGAAAAAGAAAAGACAGAAAGATTTTTATTGTTGACAACTAACTGTGAGGACCTCCTGCTAGTTCCTCCTCAGGGCAGAATTGGTTTAGATCATACATCTAATGGCAAGAAATAACAATTTACTCATTGTAAGACAGTTTTTGTCATCCAGCAGCTAATTTAAATGCTAGTTAGCTAGAGGCTCTACAAGGTGGAACATTTAGGGGGACATTCTCTCAGGAGGTCGAGTCCTCTATTTTCTGGCTTTTATATGGTGATGATTCTTTTTCTCTGAACCTAACAGAAGCTTAGAGCAGAGAAGAAATAAATAATAACAGGAATGTTAGGGGAACCTTACTACAATCCTCCCAATAGAAAACAATGGTAAGACACCATTGTTTGCTTGTGCAATATAAAATATAAAGGGGACACTGACTGTTGAGGTTCTGTCCAAAAAAAGAGGGTGAAATTTTATGTACCAGGAGATATTTAATAATAAAATAGATTAGCTCAATACAGCTTTTACTGATCTATGCTTTTGTATGAGCAGATTGCCACCTGTGAGCTGGCCTAGGAAAGAAGTCATAACTTAAGAAACTCACTGAAACACTGGTATGTATACAGAGAAAGACCATTAAACTGAGCAAGTGTCTGGAATACTGAGAGAAGACCATGGGCCATCATGCAGAAATGGAGGCAAGATTGCTTGATATAGCTCCAGATTACTAGTTGTACAACTACAACCAGAGGATGAAGTTTCTGGCAATAGAGATTTCAGTTCATTGTAAGGAAGAATTTCCTAATAGAATTGACTAATAGAATTTCCTGATAGAAGTGTTTTAGGAAATAATGCTGGAAGAAACTTTAGAGATTAAGTCCCAATCTTCCTCATATTGCCAGAAGCTAAAATATTCTTAAAAAATTGTCATGTGACTTGTGCATAGGTATTATAATTGAAGTCCGCTATGCTTTGGTAATGTAATGGACAAAGTACAGTCTGAGAAACTATGGAAGTCTAGAACCAAATAGATTGCTAAACACGTTCACTGAATCAAGCTACATGAGACTGAGAAGCACATTTTACATGATTATCCTTTTCTCCACATGCCTGACAATTTGCACATATGAAAAAAACAGTAGTTAGGAAAAGTTTCACTACAATCGTTTATTCTTCTCTCTTGCAGAAAATGAAATGTGTGAAAAGAATGGGAAAATTCATTGGCTGACCAACTAAAAAATTAGCAACAATCTGGAACTGGCCTTAGAAAAGACAAAACACAGAGTATATAAATACAGTAAATTTCTCTTAGTGAGAAAAGGGTTAGACTAGTTTATTTTTAAATTTTAGATGTGAAAAAATACGGCTGGCTGACTGTTCTAGAATATGCATTCTCTATGTTAATTATCCTCATATGATCATCACATATTGTACACAAGTATTGACACTCTGTACACCACAAATATGTGTAATCATGTTTCAAAAAAATTTAAAAAAAAAGAATATACATTCTCTGTGTAGTATATTGTGTGGTCCTAATAATAAAGTAATGTGAAAGCCTCACATATAGGAGGTACCTGCTTTCCAGTGGTACATTACTGCCAAGGACCCAGCTGTCCTGCAGCTGGACGGACTCGGGTGTGGTTTGCAGCTCGGCGGGCAAAGCAGCCGGCGGGGCCGGACTCTGGTTCCTTCTATTGGTCAGGGAGTTTCTATTGAGAGAAGTGATGGATGGATGATGCTGTGCAGAGTGCTGCTTATGGGAAGGTGGCAAAGGCTGCAGGGTAGACTGGCCTTGGTTGTTTGCAGGTTGCTCTGAAAAAAAAAAAAGACAGAAAACTCATTTTATATATATGTATGTTTATATACATATCTATATACACTACCAATTTCTTGGGGATCCACTACAGATGAATTAGAATTAAAAACTGCATATCAATCCATAACTTAATAAATTTGCATATTATTCTATTAAGCGGGTGTTCAGTGACATTCTCTAAGAACAAGTTTACCCTTGATACACAAAGTTCTAATTAATATACAACAGATGGCAAAATTGCTTTTGGTTTTAATTTGTTTCAGATTTTTTTATCTGGTTTTATTAACACCTACAGAAAATAGCATCTGACAGCTCCCCTAATGTGCCTTTAGATTTCAGCTTTTTTTAACAAACCAACCCTGAAATTAAATGGGTAATTTCAACAGAACACAAAGGTTTTCGAAACGCATATAATCCCTATAATTATTTAATGGAGTTTTTTTAAGCTTTATTTAACTGCAATAAATTATTACGAGCTAGTTGCTAAACAGCAACAGACTACTCTAGTTTAGTGCATTTCAAATAAGGCAGATCTGCACTATGATCTACTAATAGACGTTAAGTATTCTTTAGCAGAAGGTCACTCTGTGAAGCAGATGTTGTTTCATGGATACTTAGACTGAATCACATCTGATTACAACGTCAGAAGACTCATATACTTAATGACCGTTACATCCATTAGAACACACACAGAACAGATTTTCCAGACGTTAAGTATTCTTTAGCAGAAGGTCACTCTGTGAAGCAGATGTTGTTTCATGGATACTTAACAGACTGAATCACATCTGATTACAACGTCAGAAGACTCATATACTTAATGACCGTTACATCCATTAGAACACACACAGAACAGATTTTCCAGTTTCACAGTATGCAGTATAACTACATTTTGGAGTAAGTCATAGGTGACCAGAAGACTCATGCCTCTATGTCAGTGGTACAAATACTTTGTTCTAAACCAGAATCATAAAGGATCTAGCAACTTCAAAATATAAACACAATGCTATGTTGTAACTACTGAAACATTCCCTAAAGGTAATAAGTCATAAGTTAAGATCCACAAATTAAAGAAATATCTGAGACCTACTTTCCAATCTCATTATCTAGCTTTGGACATGCTAGAGTTTACAAAGACTGTATTTTACCAAACAGATAGATGGGGCTCCTTAATTTAATGCTTAAACTTATTATGGTTCCACAAACATAAGATGTCAATTTTTGACTAAATATAGTTCAAAATGCAAATTAATTTTAAAATGATATACTAAATCATGCTATTAATATAAATGCAAGTATTGAAAGAGAATAAAAAACACAGGGACAATCTTTCATCTACAATGTGAACTTCTGCAGTGAATGTTAAGCCAAATATCACAGTGTAACATTGTATTTCTGGTTACACGAAATGAATACATAATATATAATCGTTTGAATATATGTTATCAAACCTCTTTACAGGGTGCAATAATAAAAATAACTCCTCATATAATTCCTATTATAACATATAACTCCTATTATAGCATATAATATCAGTAATTATTGCATGTTTCTAATGGTCTCTAATAACTCATACCACATAATTTAATAACTGATAATTTCTCAGTCTTGAAATGAGGGGCAGAGCCAATACCTAAAGATATGAAAATAGAGCTCCTTTCTTGCACAGCCTCTACTCTTGAAGTTCCCCATACCAGAAACTGCAAAAACCATTCTTCGTTCACTGTTTTGGTATTCATGAAAAACTATGAATGTTTAAATATCAGTTAAACTGAAATAAGCTTTTGAGAGAATGGCAGGGTTAAAATAGCACATATAGTTGTAAATGTATTAGAAAAAAGAAACTAGCAGTTTAAAATTCATGAAAGATTTATTATTCAGCTATCATATAATTAATTAGCATCGTCTTCCAAGCATCGGTGCATATGATTAGAATCTCTATGTATGTCTTAAAGGCACATTTCAAGAAGCTAGGCTGGCCGGTTATCTCAGTTGATTAAAGTACAGCCTGTAACACCAAGGTCAAGGGTTTGGATCCCCATTCTGGCCAGTCACCAACCAACAAACAAACAAAAAGAAGCGCTTATAGTATGACATAGCAAGTTGCAGTTATGAGGGCCTAGACTAGGTTGGTGTCAATGGAATGAAAATAAAGAGAGGAAAAAGAAACAAACATTATTTGATAAAAACATTTCAAAGGACCAAGTAATGAGATCATCAGGCCTAAAAAAAAAGGAGAGGGATGGGTCAAGTAACTCCATATTTTTAAGCATAGAACTGTGAAAGAATGTTATTATATTTTATATATGTTATCTAGAAGAAATTACATATTAGATATTATACTATAGAGGAAAGATCAGTATATTCAAAGTCAGAATACCAAATTTAAGTCCTTATTCTGTCAAACATCATGATAGTGAGCCTCAGTTTTCTCATCTGTAATGTGGGAAACAATACTGCATTATCTAGGTCTTAGTACAATGCTAAGGATTCAATGAAATCTACTCACTCATTCATTTATTCATGCACTTAGTCATTCATCCCAGAAACATTTATCTAGACTCTATGTTCCAGGGATTTGCTAAGTCAATATTGTGCAAATGGTAAAATAAAGCATCATAGACATTAAGACTGCTATTGACAATTAAGTTATTTTAAGATCTGTTATCACATATTTTCAATACGTTGAATTTAGGATTCTTATCCATAAATCAAAACATAACCAGTCAGAAAAGCTTCCATTTAAGGTTTCAAAAATGTGCTGCTGTGGGTTTCCCTAGGTTCGCTTTTTCATTTTATAAGTATTTATTAAGAACTTGCAATGTACAAGATACCCTGCAAAGATCCATGCTCTTTCCAGTAGTCTACCCTGCCTAGTTCAGCAGTGTGTTCTGCCTGCTAGAACCTCTTTTGATTTGACTACACAATCAGGAGGGCTACCCATAAAACAAATACAGATGATAAAAACCAGGTTCAATCTAAAATTTGATGATAAGTGCAGAGTCTGAGTGAGACAGGGTGGGTGGTCAGAAATTTAAATTCTGCAGCAGACCACAAACAGAAGCAAAATCCAAGGATTCAGTTGGGGTCAAGTCTCGTTCTAGAAATTTGGGCTTACAGAACATAAGCAGTAGCTGGAGTATGTATTTATCTATACCAACTTATTAAAGGTAGAATACGTATATGAAAGCATAACAAGATAAAATAAAGTTAAACACAGAAAGAAAAGAAGATAAAATAAATGAAAAATGGAAAAGACAAGATAAAGCCAGATTTAAGGTCAGTGGACAAAATGCCTGCTGTACAGTTCTACACATTTTAAAAGTGGGATACAAATCTGGCTCTAAATGTAATCTAGTTGGCAACACAGAGGGAAAGATGATCAGTTACATGATTTAGAGTGTTTTTAAGATTAAAAAGTTTGGGGCCGGCACCGTGGCGCACTCGGGAGAGTGCAGCACTGAGAGCGCAGCGGCGCTTCCGCCGAGGGTTCGGATCCTATATGGGACTGGCCGGTGCGCTCACTGGCTGAGCGTGGTGCGGGTGACACCAAGCCAAGGGCTGCGATCCCCTTATCGGTCACGAAAAAGCCAAAACAAAACAAAAAAAGATTAAAATGTTTGCTTAGGAGAAACAGAAGTACAGGGTCTAGACTTTTGGACTACAAAAGTGCTTAAGAGTCTAACACAGGGGGGCAAATTCACACAGGAACAACCAGAACAGCAACTGTAGCCTTTTGCTTTACACTAAGCCAGTGATACAAACTTTGCACAGACTTGAGAAAAAGTTTTGGATATAACAACTTAGAGTTATAGATGGGACAATCAGACTTCACATAGTTACCAGGTTTAATGTTCCTGTAACATAGTTCTGAATATGTCACTTTACCCCTGGAAAACTCCAAATGGCTTCCTAGTGCCTCTCAATATAAAATGAACTCGAAAGGTGAATGCTATATTTGGTCACAGATAGCCCCAAATATGCTTTCGTAAACTTTCCCCCATACATTCTCTTCATATATTCTTTGTTGTAGTCAAGCTTGTTGGACCCACTATACACCTCACACCTTTCCACTTGTGAATAGTTGCTTCTATCTGGAAAGACATTTTCCTCCATCTTTCCATATCCAAATCCCACTTACTTTAAGCTCTAAGAAAAATGACACCCCTTCTGTTTTCTTCACCTAGAAATCATCTCTCTTCTCTGAGTCTTCTTAGAGTATTTGCTATGTTATTTTTTCATGGCTCTACTTACTTTCCTCTCTGTATTGCAGTTAATTTTGTAGGTCTCATGTCCCTTGTTAACTCTCTATTGGCAGGATCCATGGCTAAATTCACCGATGAGCTCCTCAGGACCACACAAGTATAAATTCTCAATAAATATTTACTGAATGAATGACTATTTGTAAAGAATTCAATAAGAGAATGTTGAAGTGGTAAAAAGTGGAGTCTACCAATATCATCTTTAATCATAAGGTAATTTGCAAACATGTCTTATTTCTCCAACTAAATTCTTAGATCCTAAAAGTCAGGGACTATAACTTAAATTCCTTTGGATTTTTTTAGTAACTTCACCAAGGGCTGTAATTTAAAGACTCCAAATAATGTGCTGATTGATCGATGACATTTATGCAATATTATAACCATGACAGGTCATTTCATTCAGGCAGGGTACCATGTCATTCATTCCAAAGATTGTTTTTTAGGAATATTTCTTTGGAACGAACCAAAGCAAATGTTCTGATATTTAATATCTGCTTTTTAAGATGTGCAAAATTGGAAAGATTATATAAAATATGATATGAAATATAAAATATACATTATTGTATATTACACTCTACATAATAATTTTCCTTGCATTTTAAAGCTAGCTTATTACAAATGCTCCTAATTAGATATTTTGGGAAAGCCATAGGTTATATTTTCAAAATATTCTTCTCTACTTTTTTTTTTAATAAAATTCTTGGCACCATATTTACTAGAAATTACCAGTGCCTTTAATCAGTTCACTCTGCCTGTTTCATTATTAAAGTCCTATTTCTCATGTAACTTAAAAAAAAGCCTAACAGTTACTTGTTCTTATTTCACAAGCTGGACAAAATTTATGGGTTTTTTGGTTTGTTTTTTACTTATAGAAGATATTTTTTACAACTCACATTATATTAATCATAGAGATTAGACAGAAAAGACTTTGGCCATCTTGCTCCTCCCTTTGCCATCCGAGAACCTAGCTCATCAGCAATGTCACTTAAGACTGTCAGTTCCCATGTTAAACCTATTAGCATGGGTTAATATCCTGAATCATGGTATATACTGAATAAGGTGTGTTGACTACTAGACCATGAACATGCCAGAAGCCACAAAAGCTACTGGATAACAGGTAGATTCTAGTGTAAGCAATTTATAGATCCCTAATTCAAAGCAAATGTATGGCATATTCACTGAGCTCTGTATGGGGAAGAAGAGACTTTTGACTACTCTTCCTGGGATCGCAACTCTGCTGTTATGAATCAGTGAGGTGAGAGGTGCCATAGAGACAAATGACAATAAATACAGGATATTTCTTTTTCATAGGACACTTTCTTGAAAAAGTTACTTAATCTCTTTGAGCTTCATTTATTTGATAGTGCTTATTTAAAGGATCTAAAAGACACAGTGCCTGACATAAAAGTAAATGCTAAATGGTAACTGTTATTAAGGATAGAGAAGAAACACTTCCGTCAGGGAGAACATCATGAGGAAAAACAAAGTAATTGAAGAGCCTTGTCATCATCGCAAGAAGTAAGAACACACTATCGAGTATGTCTGAAGAGGAAACTGTTTGCTTTAACAAGGAAGAAAATTGCAATCAGAAATGTCACAGGGATCAAAATAAACTGATCTCTTGCCAGTTCCTACACAAGAAGGAATTTTATCTCATAGTCATGAAGTCAGTTACTTTTTCCCATCGAGTATGATCACAGAATCAGGTCAAGAAAAAAGAAAAAGAAAGAAAGAAAGAACACCTGGTGTTTGTTCATATAACTGTTTGCTTTAACAAGGAAGAAAATTGCAATCAGAAATGTCACAGGGATCAAAATAAACCGATCTCTTGCCAGTTCCTACACAAGAAGGAATTTCATCTCATAGTCATGAAGTCAGTTACTTTTTCCCATCGAGTATGATCACAGAATCAGGTCAAGAAAAAAGAAAAGGAAAGAAAGAAAGAACACCTGGTGTTTGTTCATAACTGGGTTAATATGCTGGTTTGGATTGTTTTCAATTAAAAGCCACTAAGAGGGTACTTCAAAAAGTTCGTGAAAAGATTCACATTTTCTTTTAGCTCTATTTTTCCATGAACTTTTTGAAATACCCTTGTACTGGCAGCTCCCAGACTGCTATGTGCAATTCAGCTTCAGCTCCTTTATGGTTTACAGCCTTGGGCTGTGGTCTTTGGGGAGCAGAGTGGAAATGGACTTTCAAAAAGGAAAGCTGGGAGAGAAAATAATACCTGCTGGGAGATAAAAATATCTTTGTGCGAGTGTCTGTCGCATTTGTATGTGTGTGCTCTGTTCATGTGCGAGGAAGTGAAAGGTGAGCGGGAGATGAGAGGAGGGGAGGAGAAAGGGGCGGGCACTTGCTTTGAGCAGGTGTGCACAGCTGGACAGGGTGTCACCACAGTTACTCCAAGGGCTCTGTCCCACCCCTTCCTTCTCTATTGTGTCCTTCTCTTCT